GGGCACTGCGAGCTAACCCGCGTCTCTAAGGTGATAGTTTTCTTGCGATGTCATTCTTCCTACGCGGGTCGTTTTTAAAAAATGATGGGGCTGAGCGATGTCAGTACCTTGAGCTTGGCAGCTGAGATGTTTTGTATGAAGTCCCTGCCTCTTTAGCCTGATGCATATATTTTTGATAGGACTAAAACGCCACGCGTTTATCTGGTCCTTGTTTTTTCATATTTGAAGCCGGTTTCACGAGACGGCTTAACAGGACTGAGGCAAGGGGAATATTTATTGGGTTTTCGGGGGTTTGTTTCTGTGCTGTGCCTTCTGCGGGGAGCAGACAGGGAGCCTCTTCACCCTTCAAAACAAACTCCTTTAATTCTGATTCATCCCCTCAGTATTAGGGCTACCATCTCCGCGCTCCTCTGGAATTGACACTAATTTCATCCAGATTCGTCACTGCTGGAAACAGATTTATCTTGGAATAGCAAAAATAAAAGAGCCGTGCCAAGGTATTTAACTTGCAGGCTTTGTAGAGGGGGAAAACTCCTTCGGATCAGGCACGGAGAGGCAGAGCCTCCTGCGGAAAGCAGGACCAGGGAATGCCTAAGGAGAGATAAAGACCTACTCCCCAAATCCTCCTCTTCTTCCAGGACAGCCCTGTGCTTTCACACACAGGAGCGGCCGGCAACAGCGGAGAGGGCAGAGGGAAGGCGGCCATCCCGGCAAAGCCCTCCCGTCCCCGCCGTTCCTCCGCCGGGTTCCCGGTGCCCACCCGCTGCCGTCCCGGGGACGCCGCCCGGCTGGCAGGGCTGGACGCCCGGGGCCGCTCAGCAGCAGAGCAGTGGCCTGGACGCGACCTCCTCGCCCTCCGCCCGCTCCCGGCGCGGTGGAGCTGGAGAGGATCCCGGCCCGTGAGGGTCGGGAGCGGCGGCGGGCGCGGGGCCCGAGAGGATCCCGGCCGGGGAGGGTCGGGAGCGGCGGCGGGCGCGGGGCCCGAGAGGATCCCGGCCGGGGAGGGTCGGGAGCGGCGGCGGGCGCGGGGCCGGGGCCGGGCGCGGAGCCGCTGCGGGCGCTGCGGGAGCGCCGCCCCGCGGCCACGGCGGGCACTGCGCCGCTCACTGGCGGTCCTTTATTTTCCCCGCCCGTGGGATTTCAGAAATGAGCTGTCACGCTCGCCGCGTAAAATTAGCTCTTCCGATGAGTACTGAAGCTGCCTAAATTTTTGCAAGAGACAGGAACCGCGGTGTGGGTTTTTTTTGTTTGTTTTTTTTTTGTTTGTTTGTTTTTTCCGCAAATAAGAGAGGAGGACAACATCCATACACTACTGTACAGAGTGAGTGCACCTGGAGGAGGTCAGGGGGAGCGGTGGTGGATAAGATTAGGGCAATGGTTTCTTCCCGGGAGTGTAAGATACCAAAAATTTGTTTTCTATTTTGCTTTGTCAGAGTAGAACTTTGAATTCCAACTTCCAGGTCATTTCAAGAATAAGGCCAAAAGCAGCTAAAGGAGATGGTTACTATAGCAGCCTCTGTTATTTTAGGGCCTAGAAATTGGATTTTAAATTGTGTAAGGCGAGTTTGAAATGTGCCAACTTTTCTACAAGAATAAGGAAACCTTACAATAGAGGATGCACTGAACAGACCAAGATAAAACACTGTCAGGAAGCTGGACTGAATTTTTCTTCTGTCTGAGCTACAATGGCATGTAAATTTCTTCCATGATAGCCTGAAGAGAAACCTATTTTAGTTTGGCTTGATTATAAGCCTTTTCCTGAGCATCTGACATGTATTCAGCTGGAGTAAGGTAGAACAAAATATTTGAAGGATATCCTCAAAAATTAGGTATTTTTTCCTGTGGATGCAGAAAGGTTTAATGTTGGAAGCAAGAAATGACAAGAGCTAAAAATAGTTTTACTTGTATGGATACGCCTGGCAGCTGGAATGCCACCAAAGTTATCGGCTGAGTTTGGAAACTGCAGGAAGAATTTCAACATTTTCATATAGCTGGGGATCTCTCTCTTTCTGGTTTCCATCTTGTCTTCTCTCAAGTAATTCATCATACCTTAAAGAGCTGACTCAAGAATTCCAGTTACTGTAAGCCAACCCAAAATCTGTATGGGAAAGGAGTGAAGTAAAGGAGAGGGCAGAGCATTTTGGGGTGTGGAGGAAGTGTGGAGAATGGGTAATCGAGGGGTTTTTTTCCTGCAATCAGCTTGAAGCCTTCTCAGGACATTTCTTCCTTCCCCTGGAGGCTGTATTCTCTCTCCCTTTCTCCTACCCTGCAAAGTTATCTTTGCACCCATCTACACATTTCCATCTTCATCATCTGGCAAGAGGAGCCCTGTGTTTCCCTTTTGCCTGCAGCCTGTGCTGTGCCATGGCAACTGCTGACATTGCCCATGCTTGGAGCTGGCCTCCTCTAAACAGCAGAGATGGGCTTAGTAAAGAGACCTTAAATGCATGGCTGGAAATGACAAAGCTGCCTAGCAGAACCACTGCTCTGGTCTGTAATGAGAATTACTGTGTTTATCAAGTTCCTTGAACTTCTTCCAGTTATCCTGAAGTGTAGTTAGTTCATTCCCAGTGACAAGTGGTTCATTATAAATGAAGAAAATCTTGGCTTCCAAGACTGCCTTTGTAAGTAGTGAGCACTTGAGTGTCATGTTTCAAATTGAGGGCTCCAAGTCATCTATGGAAGGTTCTGTGCTTTGACTTTTTTTTTCTTTCTAAAGAGTGGCAGAAGGGAGCCATAGTACTCCACCAATTTGCTTGCAGAAAGTCTCTCTATAAAGCAGGGAGAAAAAAAAATGCAGTTCTCTATAAACCTAGTTATGAGATCATCTGGGAAGACATCAGCCATCAGAGTGGAATGACATCAACCCAGACTTTCTATGTGAACAAGCAGTTAGTGACTGAACTTTCCTTAGGGCTCACAAAGTTCAGCTACAGAGGAATATCAAATATCCAGACCCTCATGAAAAGCTGGAAAAGGGAGGAGTATTCTAGGGAAAAATAGAAAAAAATAATAATTCTCAAACCTGGTATTAGAACTGTCTTGTTCAGCAATAACTGAACCAACATTTGAAGGTAACTTACTATATCAAAGTTAATGTTTAAATGTGTACATTCCTGCTATACCAATAAGCTAGATTGGTGTGAACAACTGGTGTCCCTCCACAAAATATTTATCTGGGATGGTTTCCTAGCTCTGCTTTCAAAACTGTCAGATATCTTTTCATATGACCACATACACCCCAGAGCTCAGACCTGTGAGTCACTGTAATCTCCAGATGTCTTAGGAAAGTCCTCACATCTTCTCCAAAACCTGAGTTAGCTACTTTAAAGCCAGGGAGGGTTTCCTTGTATTGTAAAATCTGGTGTGTATATATCCTAGTAAGTAGACTCCAGCTCAAAGTTGGTGTTCCATTCTGGCAAAGGTGAAAAGTGTTAAAACTATGCTAAAACAAATCCAGCCTCTTTTTGTTGCATCAGAAGCAACAAGCTGTGGTTGAACTGTAGTGCTTACTTAACAAAAATAAACCCTTATTATAGACAACAAATATGACTATAGGGTAAAGATGCCTCAAAAATCATAGGAGTCGCTGGTCCATTACACAGCTTTGAAAGCAATGTTCCCCACTTCTTTTCCATATACTGGCTGTTTCACTGGAGAGCACCACTTCTACTATTCTAAACTAAAATTAAGGAAAGTGGTTGTGTTTGCCCTGGCCTACGCTGCCATTGCAATATAAACCAGAGAGCTTAACCGCATACAAATCCTTGAATTGCTTGGCTTTTAAAGTTTAATCATAGACCCTTTCTTTCTTCACTGCTGAGGTTTCCATGTAATTGGAATGAAGGATGTTGGAACTGAGCACAGGTTTCCCAGTGGCAGCTGCCAGTAGTTGGATAATGCCACTGACATCAATGCTGCCAAAAGAGAAAAATGGTCTTTTCAGTAATGTTTTGAGTTCAGAATCAAGAATTCTGGGTTCAGTTTCTGGCTCTGCCTCAGACTTCTAACAATGCTACATTTTTCCAGCATGTTCTCAACTAAAGATAGGAATAATACTGCTTTTTGTCTTTCCCATTTAAAGTATTCACTGTTAGTATGGTGCATCACCACATCTAGGTGGGGCACCCCACTTGTGACCATAAGGCACACACAGCACAGTTCCTACAGCCTTTGTGGGATCCTGAAAAAGTTACTCATGTGATGAGTAACCAGAATTGACCCTCCTACTCAGCTGAGCTTTGCTGCATGTAATATAACCAGGAGACTCCTCTACACCAGCAACATTCTGCTTTCCTCATTTGTCTGTCTGTCCTAGAAGACCTTGGTTCCTTGGGATAGCAGTTAGCAAAGTGGCATTTTTCATACAGGCAGATTCATAGTTCTCATCTGGGTGAGTAGTGGAGAACCATTGGTGACTTTTCAGTCAGCTAAAGCCACGTTTTGGCCATTACATGAAAGAGCACAATTGGTCTGGTTTCCCAAAGGTTCCTAAGTCTCATTAGTGTAGTCTGTCTATCCATCTCTGCTTGGATCCCAGCTTCTGAATGCACTGAGTGTTTCCAAGCGTGTTCTACCTTCTACTGTATAGCTACAGGAAAGAGAAGCAGAAACATAATATGTAACTGCATATCTTTGGAATAAATAAAATCAGGATGTTCTACTTTGGAATGAAGAAAACCAGGATGTTCTACCAAGTGGAATAACTCAAACTGCTGTCCACTGAGGGAAAAACAGGTAAAACTCACCTGATTTCATCTTCCAGTAGGTAGCTCTGCATGGATGCTGGCTGAATTATCTGCATCCATCTTGCTAGAAACGATTGGAGTTAGAGGCAAAACAGGGAATATCTGAGGCATTTCTATTTTGAGCAGATTGTAGAATTCTATTCCACTGATGTCAGTTCTAAAATTGCATGATTATACTTAGAAGATATTAAGATAACTGTATGTATTTCTGAAGTGTATTTTCAAATCTCTCTTTCTTGTTTTAGAAAAAAATAAAATAAAATGGAGCACATGTTACTGCTACTCATAATTTTCATACCTATATTGGGTCTCAGTAATGAAACAGAAACTGAACAAGATTTTACTTGGCACTTAAAGAAGATTCCCCAGATTGTGAGAGAAAGAACTTTCTCCCTTGACAGCCCTAAATTTGAAGCAAAAACCAAATTAGAGCTGAACAGTGTATGTGGAATTGAATGTCAAAGAAAACTGCCAGTGCCAACCTTGTCTGACTTGAAGAGCCTCTTATCCTATGAGACTGTTTTTGAAAACGGCACACGGACCCTGACTGAAGTGAGTGTCCTCGGAGCAGTGCCTGACCCAGCTGCAAACACAACCACACAAAGGCCTTTGAGGAAGAAGAGGCAGATATATGGGACAGACAGTAGGTTCAGCATCTATGACAAGAGGTTTATGACCAACTTTCCGTTCAACACAGCTGTGAAGATCTCCACGGGCTGCAGTGGCATTCTCGTTTCCCCCAAGCACGTGCTCACAGCAGCCCACTGCCTGCACAATGGCAAGGATTATGTCAAGGGCAGCAAAAGACTGAGGGTGGGCCTGATGAAGACAAAATCCAGAGGCAACGGCAGGAAACGCAAAGGTGCTAAAAGAAGTAGGAGAGAAATTTCTGCGGCCAAAGAGGATCCCAAAGCTGCCACAGAATTTAGGCGACCATCCAAAGGCGATGAGAGAAAGCAGAGGGGATCTGGGAGGAAGCAAGGGACCTCAGATGGCATGCCCTCCTTCCAGTGGACCCGGGTGAAGAGCACGCACATCCCGAAAGGCTGGTTTAAGGGTGTCTCTGGGGATATTGCCCTGGATTATGATTATGCTGTTCTTGAGCTCAAGCGTCCCCACAAAAGGAAATACATGGAGCTGGGAATCAGTCCAACAATCAAAATGATGCCTGGGAGCATGATCCACTTCTCAGGTTTTGACAATGATCGGTCTGGGCAGCTGGTCTATAGATTTTGTAGCATTTCTGATGAGTCCAATGATCTGTTTTATCAGTACTGTGATGCTGAGCCTGGCTCCACAGGATCTGGCATCTATCTCCGTCTGAAGGAGCCAAACAAAAAGAAGTGGAAACGCAAGATCATCGCTGTTTACTCAGGCCACCAGTGGGTGGACATCAATGGCGAACAGCAGGATTACAATGTAGCAGTACGAATTACTCCTCTCAAATATGCCCAGATTTGCTTCTGGATACATGGGAATGATGAGAATTGCACACAAGGCTGAAGAGAGCCGAGCCTCAGTTCTGCTTAGCACCCTCACTGCCAAGAGTGAAAGGCGGCCGCAACAGTGACTGGAAGAACATCACTCCACGACAGAACGTTCTTGAACTCAAAGCTCACAAGTAGTGCTATGGTGACTTAAGGAATGCTGAATTTCTAGGGGAGGGGTAGAATTGTCAGACAAAGTATTTCTAATTGTAATCAACCAGATACACACTTAAAATCCCAAACTATATTTATGTTTGCAATTGTGATAAATTCAAGTCATTTGTGAGGAAAAAAATGGCTGCACCTGTTTGTCATTTTTTTCCCCAGAGGAAGGGTTGAAACATCTCAAACTGGTGTTATTAAGCAATATCTATTTTTTTCCAATGGATTTACTTTTCTCAGGGTTCTGTTCCAATTCTTCAAATGCAAGTTGTGCATATAGCATGTTCCTGTATGTGCAGAATGAACTGCATGAGAACGAGACATTATTCTGGCATTCTCTAAAGACCACAGGTCCATGTTGAGAAGCAGCACTATAGTTGATGATGGTTAGTTTGGAAAACTTCCTCTTCTGGTTGCTGTAGGAACACTCCCATGGAAATTCCAAATTTATGTAGCTGAGGGTTACACCTTAAAGAAAAATTCACTCCATTGCTCAGTAAAAACAGCAAAAGAGAAACTAACAAAAAAAAGTTTCTGTGTTTGGAAGAAGAAGACACATTTAGACATATTTAATGCCTTTAAATGTTCTTAGAGAAGCTATAGAAATCTTAAACACATGCATTTGCCTTCCAATTAATATTTGGAGAAGTGTAGGTTTAGTTTCTAGTCAAATGTTTAGCTTTACCATTGGGAGAAGTCACTGACTCCTGAAGTGGCTACTTGACAATCATTTGGAGCTTCACAGATGATATATTTTCTGGGTGCTAAACATTTCTTTAGTTTTTATAAATTACTTTTATACAAGTTCAGCTTCATAGATAGGATAGTATGTATTAGACTGGGAGTTGGAAATCGATATTTTAGTTTGGCTTTATACAGTTTTGCAAAGTGTGTGGTTTTAATCATGTTATATTCGGATTCCACCTCAACATTATTCACAGGGTTAATTAAAAATTTCTCCCAACTAAATTATAGCACCTTCTGAATGGTAGAACTATCCTGTGCTTTATAAAAGGTATCTTGTTAGATAGCAGCATTAGTTAGCAAGTAATTTGGTTCAATATGTTTGCAGAACCATGTATTTAATGAAGACACAAACTGAGCTTGACTTTTATACACCTTTAAACAGAAACCACCTTCTTAAAAACTGTTGTTGATTGCTATATAAGTCTATATCTTTTATTTTATGTCAAGATTTTGAAGTACACAGAATTCTTATGGTGCTACATTAATCTAATAACATAAAAAGATACTGTGCCTTTCTGATCATATCCTTTGGATTTCAATACTTTCAGAGTATTCATCACTGTATTATTTAATTTTTTTATCATAAATTTATGCTGACCAAAATACATTTTCTTCCTGTGCAGGGGAAAAAATATAAGATTTTAAAATATTTTTTTTAATCTTGAAAACATGCTTTTGATGAAATAACATGATTTTAAATAACCCTTTTTTTTTTAGTATATGGTTGAAAGTGTATAACCTGACACACTGAATGTGCAGGCAATTTTGTCCTATTATTGCCAAAGCACAAAAATTTAAGACTTGCTTCCATATCATAACCTAACAATATTTAATTCATTGGAAGAGATAGAGATCTCACTTTAAAGGAAACTATTTCTTTTAATGTCAACCTTTCCAGGAAACTCAGCTTTTCGTCCTTTATTATGTTTTAATTTTATTTTGTGTGATTGTTTGCAGAAAACTAATAATAATTTTTAAAGTTTAGAAATAAATCTCTAAGATTTTAGGGTTAATTATTTTTAATTGTTGTTAACATCTCTATTAACATATGTGGCTTTGCTGACAATAAATTTAAATCACCTCAGTCCAGTATTTAATACTCTTGCTCTATGCTACAGATTTTTAGTATCCTTTAGTCAGGTCTGCAACGTTTTTCTTGAGTGCCTTTTTCCATAGTTACTGTGACAAATAAGGTACCACATCATTAATCTAATACAAGACAACCCAGGTCCATGGATTTTTTTATAATTATTGTAATTGTTGATTTGGGTCCAAAACCGATCAAGATAAAGGGGCCTTAGTAAATTCCTTGTTTTGTTGAATCTTATTTTGGTGTACTCCTCCTCAGAAGAAATAAAATCTATATCTTTATCACTTTGGGAATTGGGAGCAAGGTAAGAATGAAAAAGGTTTGATGTCATCTTCCACATAGTCTTGTTATAATAATCATCTGTTGTAAATATCTCAGCTGCAACCTGAGGTTTCCACACCAGGTTGATAAGAACTTTCTTTTCAGAAAATAAGTACTAGATGCTCATTCTGTAGTACTAAAAGATTAAAGAGGTTGGCCAGAGCAACATAAAAATTAATTTCAATCAAACAAACAAACCTCTGTGTCGCAGTGCCCGTGCTCAAACACATGCAAATACACAGGCTTGGAGACCATGGTTGTTTTGACTGAGTTTTGGTGTTGTCAGCACCTTCAGGCCGGGAATGCAGGTAGAAGAAGACACAGACAAAATGCTTTTCCTGTTGTCTCAGCATGCTAGGCAACATTTTGGTCTTCCACTTGGCCTAATAGAGAAATAAATGCTTTATATAGACATTGTGACTACCTACTACAGGGACTTCAATTCATAAATCATTATATGCAATCCCAGGAATTCAATGTCCTGCATAGAGCTCTTGGTACCCACCACTGCAAATGGGACAAGGATTGCTGAGCCATCTCAGATTTTCTTAAAAACCTGCAGTTACTATCTAGTTACCAATGAGAAAATATGAGGAGGAAAATATGATCCCAGCAGATTAGATCCTGCTGTTGTCTAGAACACCAACAGCAAGGCTGGGTTTCCAGCCCTTCTGATGTTTCCCTAAAGGATTTTTCCTCTCTCAGGTACCAGGATGTACATCATTTGTTTTCATCAGTACTAATTCTTTTCCACAAGACTTTGTATAGTAGATCTTTTTATTTAACTGTATTCCTGGCTTTAGGAAAAAACAACTTCAGTCAAATCTCTTTTCTCCTAGAGGGCTACTGGAATTTATAAAATCAATAAGTAAGTTTTTTTCAGGGCCAAAGGTAAACCTCATATGCAAGCCATTAACATATCCAGACCAGCTTCTACAAGGTATTTGTGCATGTGTTCAATCTGAGGCTCTGAAACACACAGTGGAAGTCAAGGGGGTTATCTGCAGTGTGAAAAATTAAGTCAAAGTTTGTATTAACAAAAGAAAAGCACAACATTATGTAGGGAAATGATTTCTCTTCACAACATTATGTAGGGAAATGATTTCTCTTATATGAGGTATAGAGTACCCAATGTTGTAATAATTGCTTAAAGAAACTCCTTGACTCCTTAAGATTTACCATCTTAATTTTGCAGATTTACGTGTCTATATGGAGTACGAATGAGCATGAATATGGCTTAAATAAAAAAAAACCCTCATCCACATGTGGAGGAGAGAAGCAGCTGGGGAATTCTTTCTATTCTGCTGGTAAGGGATGACCTGGCAGCAAATAGCAAAAAAAAGAGAATGAAAGAACAAGCAGTTGGTATGAAAGGCCAGGAAGATGGAGATGGTGTGCAAGGGATAAAGAAAGTGCAAAGTAACAGATGAAATGGCTGCAAGGTAGCAGAGGCACCTATTGTGAGAAAGAGTAGGCAGATGGTAGACACTTAATAGTATTAATTAAGATGTGAAATTCACAAGTTTCATGACAATTTTTCACAGTTAAAGATAAGGCATTTCTTCCCAGCCAATGGCAACAAGGAAAGGGCTGTGAGAGGACTCAGGCTGTGGCAGGGCCTGCTGGCAGGCAGGGGTTTTAATCCTGATCTACAATCCTTGCCTGAATTTGCAGGGATTATGCTTCTGTTCATTCAAGGCCCTTGGAAAGCAGCAATCTGTGTTCTGACCAAAAGGCTTGGCAGTATGAACCTCCCAGTACACTGGATCACCAAGAATGTAGTGAGTAAAGGGAGTTTCTCAAACCTGACCTTTTTTTGGGATTCCTGTAAAGGCCGTTCTCCATTGGGAAAAAAAAATGAAGCAAAAATCTCAGACTTAAGGCATTAAAATGTTGGCTCCATTTTTTTGCATGCATCTAGAAATTCTAGGCAATAGATTTTTTTCAAGTGTCTTCTGTTTGTGTTTGGCATCCATAGAAATTTAATCAACTGCTTCCAATTTTAAAGCACAGATTATTGCAGATAGTTCCATCTACAAAGTCCTGGATTAAAGAATGACTGGGAGAAAAAAAAAAGAATGTTATTAAATTGAAAGCTTAAAATTTCACTCTAATCTCAAAGGATTTGGAAGTATATTTTGGTACCCTTTGCATCAGACTTTTGCTCCAAGTGTCAGAGCATTTAGATTAAAAACATCCAGAAGTAGCTTTGAGGACTCTTTCATGTTCTTTGCTTTTTTAAGACTGACAGAAAACTTTAGAATATTTTAAGTGTGCAAAATGACAAGCCATTTGAGAAAATAAATGCAAACTTTTGCTCTGTTAAGATATTATATGATGCACTTATTCTGTCAATAAATATTTTCTGTTGTTTTTCTTTTCCTCTGTCATGATGTAGTTTGTTAGCCATGGTTGTATTACACAAAATTCATTCTCTAAGTGCCTGCAATGATTTTTCAGTGAATCATCTGGGACATTAATATCTTACAAGATATTAATGTCTCTTTAAACTTGTTCTGGGAAAAAAAAAAACTCCCTGTCTTCAAGATAATTACTCCATGAGCAAATTTGATGAGTAAAAAAAATTAAAAATTTAGTTCAGCAAGGAAATGACTCATAGTCTACGCCGCAAGTTATTAATTCTAAAATAAGTAATTAGTTCTGTTTCTGCTATTTGCTATAGTTGCACTTTCTGCCTTGGAGAGCTGTTGAACAAGGCCAAATTAGAAGTATGTAAAATATTATCATCTTGGTTCTTAGAATTATCTTAACTCTGTGCCCTTGAAACTGATGCTGATTTTATCTTTGAGGGTAAAAGGAGAGATTTTTGGCAAGGTCAATAGCTGCTGGAAATATTTAATGGAAAGTTAAGAAATTATTGCACCTGTAATTAACAGTGTGTTTAATACAAGCAATATTTACCAGGGGTAAGGGCTTACCCACTAGCTCTTATATGGGGAGAAGTAAGTGCCACAGGGAAATAAATAGGATTGAAAGCTTTTTGACCTGGAAAAAA